AATTTCACATCTGCCTGTCTGAATATTTATCACAGGATGATTTGCACCTCTATGACCATGATGCATTTTATAGGTAGAAATATCATTCGCTAAGGCTAGAATTTGATGACCTAAACAAATGCCAAAAACAGGCTTCTTAAGCTTTAATATTTCCTTTACTGTTGATATTGCGTACTCCATTGATGAAGGATCACCAGGACCGTTAGACAAAAAATATCCATCCGCATTAAATCCCTGCATATCCGATAATGTAGCTTTAGCTGGAAATACCTTAAGATAACTTCCACGATCAGCCAAACTTCTAAGAATGTTTCTCTTAGTTCCAAAATCAAGGACAGCTATTCTAACATCTGCATTTTCATCACCCAAAGAATAAGGTTCTAAAGTTGTTACATGACTAGCTAATTCTAATCCTTCCATAGAAGGCACTTCATTCAATTTGGCTTTTAATACTTCTAATTCAAAGATTTCACTGGAGATGATACAGTTCATTGCACCTTTATCTCTAATGTTTTTTACAATAGACCTTGTATCTATATCGTATATACATACCAAATTATTTTCCTCAAAATAATGTTGAATATCTTGGTCAGCCATAGGTCGGCTATAGTCATTTGTAAAATTTTTACAAATCAACCCAGCTATCTGTACTTTAGATGATTCCGTATCACTCGCCTTAATACCGTAATTTCCTATGTGTACATTTGTAGTTACCAATACTTGACCATAATAGGAAGGATCTGTAAAAATCTCTTGATAACCCGTCATACCCGTATTAAAACAAACTTCACCAAAGGTGGTACCTGTAATACCAGCAGCTCTACCTTCATAAAAACTACCGTCTTCAAAAAGAACTACCGCTCTATTAGTTTGTGAAAAATCCATGATATTAATTTTGTCAAAATAACTTCGTGCAAATATAAGATATATAATAAACAAATTATATTCAATACTAATATTTCTATGAATAGTAACTTATTTGGTAGACAAACTTTAGAACTATATACTTAAGATATATCTACTTTAAATAACTATGAATGTAAAATAAATATAATAAAAAAGGGATACTCTCACACTGGAAAGTACCCCTTTGTATTACATAAGATAAATTAGATTATTCTTCTTCATTACCTGCTACTTCATCTATTAAAGTAGGAGCAACTACTGCTGCTGCTGCCACAGCTGATACGCTACTATCTCCTCCAGACTTTCTTCTACTTCTTCTTGTATTAGAAGCTTTTGCATTACCTACTTTAGCTACAAATACATCATTGAAGTCAACTAACTCAATCATTGCTATTTCTGCTGCATCTCCTTTTCTAAAACCAGTCTTGATAATTCTGCAATATCCACCCGGTCTATCCGCGATCTTAGGTGCAACTACATCAAACAATTCATTGATGACTGCTTTGTTTTGAAGATCCGCAAATACCATTCTTCTTGAATGTGTTGTATTGTCTTTTGATCTTGTTAAAATTGGTTCAACAAAAACTCTCAAAGCTTTTGCTTTAGCCAAAGTTGTATTGATTCTTTTATGAAGAATCAAAGAATTAGCCATGTTCAATAATAATGCATCTCTGTGGCCTTTCTTCCTTCCAAGATGATTAAATTTCTTACCGTGTCTCATAAACTTTAATTGTGTACCACTATTGCCTACATCTATATTCGACCTTAGATATTACCAAGCAACGTTTTATACCGTTAATAATATAATTATTCATCCAGCTTTTACACTGGGTCGATGCGATTACTCTTCGTCAAGTTTATATTTAGAAAGGTCCATACCAAAGGTCAATCCTTTCTGTTGTAACAACTCTTCTATCTCTACTAATGATTTTTTTCCGAAATTTCTGAATTTCAATAATTCATGCATATCAAATCTAACCATCTCTCCAAGACTGTTAATTTTGGCCGCCTTAAGACAATTGTAAGCCCTTACTGAAAGATCTAAATCCTCTAGTGAAGTCTTCAACAACTTTCTCATATGAAGAATATGCTCATCAACAATACTATCTTCTCTTGAAGATGAATCATTAAATGTAATATTTTCATCAGTGATCAGCATCAAATGTTGAATCATTATCCTTGAAGCTTCTTTTATCGCCTCTTCTGGATGAATGGTTCCATCAGTTTTAAGTTCAATGGTTAGCTTCTCGTAATCTGTACGCTGACCAACCCTTGTACTCTCAACTTTATATGCTACTTTCTTAATTGGCGTATATATAGCATCCACAGGTATAACACCTATAGAAGCATCTTTTGGCAAATTCTCATCTGCTGGTACATAACCCCTCCCTTTTGTAACTGTAAATTCGATTTCTAAAGTTACATTAGGCTCTAATGTACATATGTAAAGATCAGGATTCATGATCTTAAATGTATTAGTACTTGCTTCAATATCACCTGCAACAAATTGATCCTTACCTGAAATCGTTACATACAATTTCTCTTCTTCAGATCCTTCCGTTATTACCATTGGCTTTAATCGAATCTGCTTGATATTCAATATAATATCTACAACATCTTCAACAACCCCTTTTATAGTGGAAAACTCATGATCAACGCCCGCTATTCTTATAGCAGAAATTGCATAACCTTCCAAAGATGATAAAAGAACTCTTCTTAATGAATTTCCTATAGTCTGACCGAACCCTTGTTCTAATGGCTTAAATTCAAAAGTACCATCAAAATCATCTGATTTCTGTAGAAGTATTTTCTCTGGTTTTTGAAAATTTAGAATACTCATTATGATAATTTTTCTAATTTTAATTAAAAAGGATAGGCTATCCACAAAGGATAGCCATAATATTATTTAGAATACAATTCAACTATAAGCTGCTCATTGATATTTTCTGGTATTTTTTCCCTTTCAGGATGTGCAAGATATCTACCTTCCATTTTATCACCGTTCCACTCTATCCAACCAAATGTCTTTGAACCATCTCTTTTTGCAGTAACATTGCTTTTGATTACGTCAACTTCTTTTGACTTACCACGAACTGACACTACTGACCCTGGCTTTAACAACATAGAAGGAATGTTTGTCAAAATACCATCAACTAGGATATGTTTGTGTGTAACTAACTGACGAGCTGCTCTTCTTGTCTTAGCAATACCCATTCTGAATACTACATTATCTAATCTAGACTCTAA